GGGGGGGGGGGGGGGGGGGGGGGCACGCCGGTGGTGCGAGAACGTGGTGATGCAGAGATCCCTCACAGGAAGGAGCAATTGATTCTCATACGACATTGCGTGGGAAGGCCTACAAGCGAAGGGTCTACACAGAAGAAGGAAACCGTGTGCCGGAGTCCACGCTGTTAGTTGGAGTTTGAGCTGGAAGCGATTGACTTCCTCGAAACGACATTTCTTCCACAGCGCTTCCTAATCTCGTACTCATCCAACCAGCGAGACACGACTTTTCGCGGTCACAAGACTTCAATCCGCAAAGCCTACCTTCAACGGTAAGCAGATGAACAACGCCTAATGCTTCCATGCCATTAGAAAACTAGCCAGCAGGGGTCCCAGCCCCGACAAAGCACCAAGTGAAGACGGCTTCCTGCTGGCCACTGCACCAGAGGGAGCTGAAAAATCGAAGCGTAGATCTCCCAATCCGCGATACAACTGCGTGGTTCGTCAGTAACGTGCCTGCTGCCAAGAGCTCGATTTCTCTACACGGGATAAGGCATGTCGGTGCCGAAAATGACGGCGACACATGTATGACTTCGTCCCATGCATACTCCTGAGGAGCTACCCGGACACAAGTGGTGGGTACCATTCAGGATTGTCGCCCTCTTGCTTGCGGAACAGTCGGGCTGTGAAAATCGTCCCCAAGGGGGGTCTGATACACGCGGCGGTGCAGCACGATATAATAGCGCGGCCATCATCTTGCAACTCGGCGCGGCCGTGCGCCGTGATCGCGACCCGTAACCTTACACCTCCATCACGAACTTGCGGCTATGTAAGTCAAAGGGAGACCATCTAAGAGGAAGCACGGGTGTACGATAGTAAATGTGGGTAGTCCCCGCTACAGGAGATCATTCATCGTATGGTTATTTAAAGAGGAAGCCGGAGTTCATTGTTCGTGGCTTGTCCCTAGACCTTGTTTATCTTAAACCATTTAGCCGCTACTGCTGCATCGCTAGCGCCCGCAGTACAGAACATTTGCAGTTTACCCTACAGATGCGAGAGAACGCACGGGGGTGCAGCGTTTTTCAAAGTGTGATTTCTCCGCAACCAGGAGGGTACCACTGCCGACAGGGATGGTTTTGGAAATATCGCGTCGAGGGCTTTCCTAAGAGGTATCAGTTGGTGTTCACACCCTTCTGGTTGTGGAGCAACCAAGCTGTAAAAAACTCCAACTCCCCCGTGCGTTCTCTCGCATCCCTACGGTACATGAGAATTAAGCACCATTTGTGAGTCCGGTCAGGAACCCCTACACCAAAGGCCTACTTAGCGGCCATTGTAGCTAACCCTGACCTCGGCCTAAACTAGAGGTGCTAAAGTGCGGGCGCTGTAACTGCTGTGCCACTATTTCGAGTTCCCCCGGATAGCAAACATTGCGAAAGCTGCCGGCTTTCCCTCGCCCGTGCAGTACTACCGTAGACTACACGTCACGTGCGTGTGTGGCTGATGAGAGCGTCTGTATGCTTATACATACTCGACACGTCCCGTGCTTTCTCTAAGCAGCGTTGTAGTGGATCTGGAAGTGTAGACCATGCCCTCGCTCAAACGTACATGCATGATCCCTCTCGGTAAAAGGTATTTCTGAAGCAGTCCTGTTTCATCTCTCTCTTTTCCTTGGCCCAGCGCACCACGAGCGAGCACATGAGTCACGCCGTCACCCTATCATCAAGTGAGCTGCGGCGCTGCTCAGCAGTGCTCGCGGTGTCTAGGACAGGTGGATCTCGACAACGTCGCGAGCTATGCTACATCAGCAGATAAAGAGATGTGTGGGTACTGCTGTAACGGTCCTCTTTTGCTGCTCGTGCGCGATTCGCCTCCGTATGCAGCAGAATAGTGTGGATGTCGCCGACCGTTCGTGTCGGTTTTTCTGAGCGAAAGAAGAGAGGGAAAACCCCCTCAATTCCAACAATCACGAGCACGTGTTCCTCGAGAGTTACGCAAGCATCATCAACTACGACGTGTTGTCGTCCGCTCTGTGGTCCATTTGGACGATCGTGCCGTCGTGGATCGGCGAGTTCAAAATGCGGCGGAACTTAGATACTGCTGTCGAGTCTCAGGTCATGAGAGAGAGAGAGAGAGGCGACGATCAAAACAAGCCGCGCCACTTAATCGCCAATCGTTAGATTCCACCCACCTTTTCCACTTTGGCCCAATCCCCCACTCCGTGCTCTCCTATAATGGTGGGTGGGTGTGTCGTGGATAGCCGAACGTGCCAAACATGAGGGGGGCACGCGCTTGGCTGGGATAGGCTGGGGTAGGGGGGCGCGGCGAAAGGGCGGGGGAAACGCAACTAACGACCACCCGCGGGGCCAAGCACGGACGTCGGCACCTACCTTGATCCGTGTATTGCTTTGTGTGGTACCATGAGGGAGATCGATGAGAGTCACATCAGTACTGAAGCCTTGGAGGAGAGCGGTCGGCTGGGTTACGACTTCTACAGGCGAGTTTTTCAAATTTGGTGGTTGCGCCGCGTCTAAATCTGCGACCATGCGACCATGTGTGCACCGGTGCACCGGCTATGCGTCCGAGCTGCTACTGCACTGCTGTAGCTACACGTTCGGACTGACAAGGTTTGCTGTTTCCTTCGTGGCCTGTTGTCCTTCGGAGTCCTTGAAAATGTTTTCAGTTCTGAGTTGAGGGATATCAATCGCACCAAGTGCTGCTCTGTCTCTGCCACCCGACACACGTGGCATTGCTTGCATTCAGTAGCACCGCGCCCTCGACGCGCTGCTACAGCAGAACTACATACACATCATCCAGCGATTGCGAAGCCCGTCCTTTCGAAGGTGACCGAGTTGCCACAGAGCAGTGAATCCAGGCTGTTGCTACTTGTGTGCTCTTCTTATGTCCGATCGACATTAACCTCGTGTCAGTTGCTAATCCCAAAATCTAGCAAAAGCTCGAGTCCGTGGTAACAAAAATGCTACTTTGAGCCATGGACTGTGCGTATGTCTGCATAGCTGCCCGTGTTCATACCCATGCAGCGTAAGCATAGCTACGTAGGTGATGGCCGCAATGGTCCTGGGACGTCGTCCACGCTTTGACCTTGCCAGCGAAAAAAACAAACGTCTGACGTCCAGACTAGATCGGATGACAACAGATCATACACCTCGACAGCGACGTACAGCTTCATGTTCGTTCGAAGAGTTTGTACGCAATCATTGCACGTATATTACTACGAAGTACCGTAGTAAATTACAAGGGCTCGGACGCGGGGGGCTACCGCTCCGCCCGTCGTTCGTTTGCTCCGCCGCCCTTTGCGGAGAGCGAAACTTAGTGTGACGTACAAGTAAGCACAAAACGTATACCACGTGGGACGTTCTCGAGTTAGTCAGGATGTGGTTGTTTAATTTTCTGCAGAACAGAAGTGGAGCGGAGCAGGCCGTGGCGGCAGTTTTCGCGGTCCGGGCAGGGCCAGCCCTCTACTGCCAGTGACAGCAGGGGACGGGGCTTGGCGTGTGACGTTGATTCCCCGGCTTGTTTGCGTTTCAGAGGAGATTCCTTCGAGAGAGCGTTCATGCTTTTATCTTTTCGTGGTTGATGTCGGTTGTGAGGAGGGTGGGCAAGCGCGCGTGGTGCGTGGACGACTTCGCTGTGTGCTCGTTCCATGATTTAGGAAATTCCAGAGTGAGTGTAAATTTAATTGTCCAACGAAAATTGTGATGTGACACGGCAAACACATCAAAGATAATTCCTCCTAATCGAATACGGTCGCCCCGGTGGTCTAGTGGGTAGCCTCGCAGCCTGCTAAGGGCCCAGGTCATGGGTTCGAGTCCCGGCAGAGAGAGTTTTTTTCTCACTAAATAAATCCTGGTCTAGGATGAAAGCGACGCGCTGCAGAGCTCGTTTGTTAGTAAACCATAATCAACTTCGCAAGTCGCGAGGGAAGGGATTGCTGTACCCTTCTCGCGATAAAAATACCTCAGGCATGAACCGCAGGAGGGGATCCAACCCCCCCCTCCTTTGTGACCCCGGTTGGTTCGTCTAGCCAGTAGAAGTGGAGGATAGGGGCCAGAGGGGCAGACGACAGAGTCCAATGATGGGAGAATAACAAACAAAAAAACATTGTCGCTCGAAAAAACTCCGAAACACCACACATATTTTGATTGTCCAACGAAAATTGATGCGACACGGCACAACACATAATAAAATGTATTTCCACCGTATCACATATGTCTTGGCTCAAAAAATCCGAAACACACCACACATATATATGTTGTGATATAGTCGCTCTGCTTCGCGTCGGTAGTAATAGTGTGGGGATGCGTGTGGTGCGTGGAATAAAGATGACGCACAGCAAGCATATATTTGCGGTTCATGCAAACTGGATTGAAGACACGCAACACACAAACATCAACCGCACTACGCAACAAACCCCGACACGAAATACAAGTCCAAAAATTGTTGGTTCGGAGCGGAACGCACCGCGGTGTCTCGTCCAATCAGGGTCTGGAATCTTAAATCGTGACAGAACAGCTCAGATAGATGGATGCAGGTGCGAAGGACTCCCCGTCCGTCTTTGCCGGTTCGGACAGCTCGCCGTGCATGGCGCGCCCTGAGCCCGCGACGGCGGGGTTTAGCGGAGAGCAGGCGTCCCGCGGGCTCCGCGAAGGGGGAGCCCGAACGTTGTCTGGTGGCGGGCTGGCGGGGCCCGTGAATGTTTTCGTCTCGGTTGTAGAGAAGGGCGAGTTCCCCCGCTGCGCTGTCAGGCGTCGAGCTCGAGCTTGAGTGAATAATACATACCTCTATTGGCGCACTGGCGTCATCCTTGCTCGAGAGCACGGGACCAAACCAAGCGTCTTCTCTGTGTGCCTCCTCTGCCTCCCATGCTGCTGCTTCCAAATCTTTTGCCTTCGATGCTGTGGGTGGCGGGGGTGATGGCGTCGTCTACGATGCACCGTCATCACTACATATTATAAAACTGCACGGGCAGATCAATCGGCTCCCCCACTCGAATCGTTGCTCCTATGGTGGACCAGTCGGAGCTCGCGTTTCGGAGGCTGTGCAGGCGATACGGGTCGAACCTGTGCTACACGCCCATGTACAACAGCAAATGCTTCGCCGTGAGCAGGTATTTTTGCATACGTAACAGATGGCACAGCAGCACCTAGCACGAAAGACCTTTTTCTGGCGGCGTTGTGGTGTAAAGAGTTGTGTAGGAATTTGGCGCTCGCAGACAGCCACGGTACGAAATGGGGCCGGAACACAGCAATATACCGAACCCAGTAGTAGGCGGCGAGGCTTCCCGCCTTTCCTAGCTGTCCGCGTCCCCTGGTATTGGTGTCTTCCATGGGGATTGCACTTGTGTACACATGTAGCATGGTTGGCTCTTTTACTGTGTATTGGGCATCGTTTCGTACTGATCGTATCAATATTTCCGGTTCACCTCCTGCCACCTCTGTTGTGACATGACAAGGTTGAAAAAGGCATCCCAGTAGCTTGTGGGTAACCATGGGTCCACGAGAAACGGGCTCACTTGCGGAGAAAAAGACAAATACCGTTGCAAAGGTATTCCGTGGCCACTCTTGCGTCGTCGCGACCTTCCGCATATCGTTCGTGTTTTTCATTTCCTCATCACGATATCTTGGTCATGAGAAATCATTTCGGCGTGTATGCGCGCACACAGCGCGTACCGCAAGAGCAACTTCGATCCGCACCCGGAGGATCGCCCCTTGATCGTGCAGTTCTGCGGTAACGACCCGGCGCTGCTGCTGGCATCCGCCAAGTTCGTGGAGAAGGAGTGCGACGCGATCGACCTGAACCTGGTGAGAAGGCTTAGGAGGCGTGTGACCGCCACCTCTGTCCCTCTCTGTCCAAGCATACAAGCCACCAACCACCTTTCGGTCCATCACAGCCGTCTCCGCCAATCCTACCCCCGAGGATTGGCTGAGGCGGCTGTGGTGTACCGAAAGGTAGTTGGTGTCTTGAATGCTTGGACAGAGAGGGACCGGGAGAAGGAGACGGGGCGTGGGAGGGAGACGTGTTCGCGGTCCCGTGGGTAGTAATGACGCTACTGTAAGTCGACAAGAACGCCAGAACAGGCTATTTCTTTTCTTCAACGGAGTCCACCTCCAGTTTCCCAGCCGCTTTTCTCGTGATGAGGACGTGTTCGACCTCTTGATCGCGACAGGCAACGATATTTGCCGCTTGTGATCGCCATGATTTGCGTAATGAACCCCCCCTGTTTCATCTTCTCGCTTCTGCCCCCCCCCCCCCC